GGAATGGAGGATAATAATCAGGGATGGAGATGGGAATGAGGACAAAAGCTTGTCTCCAAATCTTAACGGGGCGGGGACGGATGAAGAACTCCCCACCCCGCTCCCACCCTGATATACATATGTTATACACTATAATATATGTTATATAAATATACATACATATACTTTTTTGCATGTGTTAATTATTACTTTAATAAGACTTTTTTTTGCTCTACAATTTTTTTTTTTTACATACGTTTTGAATTTAGTTGGTATTGAGAAACCTTTAATTTTGGTGTAAACTTATATTGAATTTATACTTTATTTTTACTTTAAGTTACAAAAATTTTGAAATGCTTAATTACATTCGATGGAGAATGGGACGGGTATGGAAAACACCCCCAATTAAAAATCCCTGACGCCGCCCCCGTCCCTCCTTAAGCGGGAATGGAGATGATTTTGGAGAGTGGGGATGAGGAATCATTCCCCACCCCGCCCTGTTGCCATCTCTAGAGTGGTTTACTTGCCCCAAATGCAAATATATATATATATATATATATATATATATATATTGGCACAATGAATGGTTTAATGATATCAAACTTATTTCATTATAGTTCTCTCTTTTTCCTCCACAATGTTATTTCACTGAATTCCTTCTATTCAAAGGAGATAAAATCTCTTAATTTCTCATTGAGATTCTTCTATGGATCTTAATTTGTACCGGTTGTTGTTAACAGTAATTCTAATTGAAATAATTAGTTTAAAGTTTGAAGTAGCAAATTAAGTGCCAGTTTTTAAAAATCACGAGACAATGTAGGAACGAGTGTAAAGTTTGGGCATAAATGGGAATAATCCTAATTCATAGTAATGGATTGCTACTAAATGAATAAACACTTAGCATTTGATGTGTTTATGCCACTTATAAATTGCAAAACATTTTATATTGCTGAATGACTTATGTGAATTCCTCTTATATATAAACACTAATTTCTCTGGGGAAAAACAAATAATCAACACTGATATATTGATACAATATGTTACGTCCTCGGATCAATTATCAGTCTATTACTATACCCTAATTTAGGTTATTTCAGTCCATTTTCATTTTTAACTTTTTTCACTTTCTATATTATTAGATTGATTATTGTTATTCTTTTCCTTCCGGTCAGAAAAAAAAATAATAATATGTCACTCTAATTGTCTAATTTATTATAATCCTATTGTTACCAACAGTATCATACCAGGCTATCGAAGGTAACCTACCACCAACTTTAAGCTTGGTGACATCTTACTATCGATACTCGCATGCGTTACTGAAGATATAGGCTGCCACCTTATTACCAATGGTAGTCTATTATGTTATCAACGACATTTTATTGTGAAACCACCGGGTAACATGTCGGAATACTAAAAAAACATGACAAACAGGTAAATCAAGGCTTTTACTCCTTTGTGATCAGCTTTCCGCTTATTTTTTAACTGATTCATAAATTTGTCTATTTAGAGAGCTTATCCTGTTTTGCTTTTTCTTTCCTTTTCATTTCTTTTTTTAATTTCTAAGAACGCTTTTGTATTTTTTTTTTCAATTCATTTGAACTGCTGATGCCGAAATCCAGCACAACACTGCATGCAGAAGCGCACCGTAACCGGATTCTGTTCTCTGCCTCTTTTGGCCGAATCCATAGCACTGTTTAGAACGAATCCCTAGCATTGTTCTGTTGGGGTCCTAGCACTACTTGGGACGGATTCTTAGCACTGCTCTGCTTGGGTCCTAGCACTGCTCGGGACAGATCCCTAGCACTGTTACAATCTGCAATGAAAGAGGAGATGGCCTCGGAGTGAGGGGACACCGGTGTGGTGTCTGCCAATGACACTCCGACACTCAAGTCATTGTTCTGGTCGGGAGCAACAAATGAGTGGGTAGAGTTGGGTGTGGAAAAATGTTCGTACCTTTGTGAGCTAATGACCTTTGTATTTGTAGAGTATTTCCGGATCCAGGTAGTGTCCGGATTTGACTCGGAATCTGGGGTGACCCAGGTGTACAGTTGTACCAGTCATGTGACACATGTCGCGCCCTTATAGGTGCAGGGAGCCCCCATTGGAATTGCGAAGAGGGGGCCACGCGGCAGTTAGTTGGCTAATCGGGAACTTGTCATGTTTTGCCGTCGGTGTCGGTTAGTGCTCGGACCACGTGCTCGATCGGCTCAGACCACGTGCTCGGTCGGCTCGGATCAAACGCTTAGCCTACTAGGACCAGGTGCTCACCCTGGTCTGCCTATTTGGATTGTTCAGCCTAGTCTGCATGTTCGGCCTACTCGGCTAGGTCGGCATGTTCGACCTATTCCACCTGTTCGGACCATTCGACCTGTTTAGGCTGTTCTTACATGTTCGTACTGTTCGGACCAAGTGTTCGGTATGTTCAAACTGTTTGACCTATTCATCCTGTTAAGACCAAGCACTTGACCTGTTCGGAAGCTAGGTCGGCATGTTCGACCTATTCCACCTGTTCGGACCATTCGACCTGTTTAGGCTGTTCTTACATGTTCGTACTGTTTGACCTATTCATCCTGTTAAGACCAAGCACTTGACCTGTTCGGACTATTCATCTATGTTCAGCCTATTCAGCCTGTTCAGACTAGGTGCTCGGCCTGTTCGGGCTGTTCTTCCATGTTCGCTTTGTTCGGACCAGGTACTCAGCCTGTTTGGGTTGTTCTTCCCTGTTCACTTTGTTCGGACCAGGTGCTCGGCCTGTTCAGACAAGGTGCTCGGCATGTTCGGGCTGTTCTTCCCTATAGGCTTGGCCAGACTAGGTGCTCGGGTTGTTTTTCCTGTTCGGATCAGGTGCTCGGCCTATTCGGGTTGTTCTTCCCCATCGACCTATTCGTACTATTCAGACCAAGTGCTTAGCCTGTTCGGCCTATTCGGCCTGCTCACATCAAGTGCTCAGCATATTCGGGTTGTTCTTCCCCGTCAGCCTGCTCTAGCGGGTGGCCTATTCTTCTGGTTATAAAAATGACCACCCCTTAACATTAGCCCCACAAGACTTAGGTGGAGAAGGTCATCAACACCTAAGTCCAAAAGTGATTAGGATATAGTCTTAGCTTATCCGAACACTTGGTCTCGTGCCTTGTCGACACATGTTCTTGATCATAGTATGATTGGACCTGTAGGTCTTAAATATGTTCGGCCCATTGCCGCTGCATGCCAACCTGGACTTTTGGTCCGTTTTGGTCGCTTGCTTGGATTGTTCGAGGACGTGGGTTTGCCCGACCCCGGAGGGTATGCTGGACAGGTTGGGATAAAAAAATGCCCAAGGCCGATTCTATTCGGCCGAATCCTTCCACGGACATCGTCCGACTAGGATGTCTTGCCCCTGTACCAGACATGTCCAGAATGGAGTGTACATTACCCTTTGATCAAATAAGAATCCGAATAGGATGCAAATTTTTCAAAATTTCTTGGCCTACATTACTTGCACGTAGCTTCTTTGGACCCTGGGGTCTTATGTTCGGAAAAACATTATTGGACATGGACCTGATCGACCTGGTGAGACGGACCTCTTGGACTTGATCGGACATGACTTATTCGGCTTGGTCAGACAGCTCCACAAGTGGACCTAGAGTTGGTCGGACATAAGCCTGATTGGCGACGTCGGATGGGTTTCTTGGACCTGGTTGCACATGGTCTGTTCGGCTTGGTCAAACGGCTCGACAGGTGGACCTGGAGCTGATCGGACATAAGGCCTGATCGGCGTGGTCGGACGGGTCTCTTGGACCTGGCCAGACGGCTCGACAGGTAGACCTAAAGCTAGTCGAACATAAGGCCTACTCGGTGTGGTCAGACAGGTCTCTTAGACCTGGTCGGACATGGCCTGTTCGGCGTGGTCCGACAGCTCGACAGGTAGACCTGGAGCTGCTCTGTTGGGGTACTTAGTCCACTGTCATTCTAACCTTCTAATCTTATGATCTGTATTCTGGTCTTCTGACTTTTGATCTTCAGGTTCTCTGACCATCTAATCTTCTGATCTTCGTGGAAAGACTCTCAAGTTAGTGCTCTGGTCGGGAGTAACAAATGAGTAGGCAGTGTTAGGTGTGAAAAAATGTATGTACCTTTGTAAGCTAATTAGCTTTGTATTTATAGGGTATTTTCGGATTCGGGTAGCGTCTAGATCTAACCCGGAACCTAGGGATAACCCAGTTGTATTGTTGTACCGGTCATATGACATATGTCGCGCCCCTACAGTTAGAGGAAGCCCCCATTGGAATTGCAGAGATGAGGCTACGTGGCAGTGTCATGGCCTGTTTAGCCTAGTCGGACGGCTCAATAGGTGGACCTGGAGCTGGTCGGACAAAAGGCTTAATCGACGTGGTAGGACAAGTCTCTTGGACCTGGTCGGACATGGCCTGTTCGGCGTGGTCCAACAACTCGACAGATAGACCTGGAGCTGCTCTGTCGGGGTACTTAGTCCACTGTCATTCTAACCTTCTAATCTTATGATCATTGTCTTTTGGTCTTTTGACTTTTGATCTTTAGGTTCTCTAACCATCTGATATTCTGATCTTCATGGAAAGACTCTCAAGTCAGTGCTCTGGTCGGGAGCAACAAATGAGTGGGCAGTGTTAGGTGTGGAAAAATGTATGTACCTTTGTAAGCTAATGAGCTTTGTATTTATAGGGTATTTTCGAATTCGGGTAGCGTCTAGATCTAACCCGGAACCTAGGGATGACCCAGTTGTACTGTTGTACCAGTCATATGACATATGTCGCGCCCCTACAGTTAGAGGAAGCCCCCATTGGAATTGCAGAGATGAGGCTACGTGGCATTCAGTTGCTTAATTGGGAACTTCTCCCGTTTCGTCAGTCGGTGTCGGTTAGTGCCCGAACCACGTGCTCGGTCGGCTCGGATCAAGCGCTCAGCATGTTCGAACCTAGTGCTCGCCCTGGTCTGCATGTTCGGACTGTTCATCCTAGTCTGCATGTTCGGCCTGCTCGGCCAGGTAAGCGTGTTCGGCCTATTCTGCCTGCTCAAACCATTCAGCCTGTTCAATCTGTTCTTCCATGTTCGTACTATTCAGACCAAGTGCTCGGCATGTTCTGACTGTTTAGCATATTCGGCCTGTTAAGACGAGGTGCTCGACCTTTTCAGGCTATTCTTTCTTGTTCGGCGTGTTCGGACAAGGTGCACAGCCCATTCGGCTTGTTCGGACCAGGTGCTCGGCTTGTTCTTCCCTGTCGGCCTAGCCGGACCAAGTGCTCGGCCTATTCGACCTGTTTGGACCAAGTGCTCGGAATGTTCGAGTTGTTCGGGCTGTTCGGCCTATTCAGCCTGCTCGGACCAGGTGCTCGGCCTATTCGGCCTACTCAGACCAGGTGGTCAGCATGTTCAAGCTGTTCTTTCCTGTCAGCATGTTCAAGCTGTTCTTCCCTGTCGGCCTGCAATAGCAGGGGCCTTATTCTTTCCGTCATAAAAACAACTATTCCCTTTCCCTTTCATGCGAAGTAAACACACCCCTAAATTAATAACAAACGGAAGACAGTGGATGCGGGACATTGGAAAAACTCCAGTACATCTCACTTCGGACAATGTAAAAATAAAATAAAGGACATGCCAAGGGAAGTCTGATCTAGTTAAATTGCCACAACAGGAAATAATGTTTTTGGCCAGGGGCGAAAATTCAAAATGAAGAAAAGCAGATAATAGGAGGAGAAAAAGTATAAGATCATTAAAAAAAACAGCTTCTCAAGAAGTTGGAGTACCTCACAATTTCCAAAATAAGTTCTTCGAAATCCTTATCTTTTTTTGCCTCCCACAACCTTCTTCACTTCTAATCTTGCCTGCATTACACCAAAACACACGGGCCTTAAGCGGAAAATCTAACCACCTATGTGCCCTTCCCTTTGATAACAACGGATTAAATAAAATGGCGGTGATGCAGAAAGAATAGACAAGATTAAGAGAGATATTCAGAAACATTCAGATAGAAGAAATACAGATGGTGACTTTGGGTTTGTGTTGAAGCACAGTTTTGTGGAATGAAATGTGAAATTCAAACCACGCTTTCATAATATCTAGCAGAATTGCGAGCAGAATAAGTGATTAGAGATTATAAGCATGCTTTAATGACTACAACTTTTAGCAGTGGATCTGAACAATTTTACCAGGTCAAGCAATTCCCAGCCAACCTGAATGTACGGAACACTTCTTATTGTTATATTCCCTCTTCTAAACTATAAAACCAAACAAAAGAGAGCTTGCATCTGTAATATCACTATCTCTACTACTACCGCCGCCACCACCACCATAGAACCAAACAAAAGAGAGCTTGTACTATTATTATTATAGTTATTATTACCTAAACCTTCTCATTTCCTTCTCTCCTTTTCCAACTTTTTCTGTAAGTAAATATCGCGTTGAAGCGATATCTTTCCATAGCCAAGATATGATTTTAGAGAAATTTCCAGCAGCTATTCAGGCCTCTCCGAGGATGGTCTTGTGCAATTCCAATCCTTGTGTAATGCATCAAGAAAACATTAAACTACTATTTGAGAACCCTAAACTATCAAAGTTAGGAATGTATCAAATCTAGATAACTAATATCATGTAAACGAGCAGAATTCAAAATGCGCCGAAAGAACAAGAAGCGAATTTCACAGAGAGATAGAGAGAGAAACAAAGTAAATTCACCTTTGGAAACGTATTGGATTTCGCCATGAGGAGAGTTGAGGAGCAACCATTTCGCAATCTCCTTCTTCTGCGTCTCGCTTAGCTCTGCTTCTTCTTCGTCTGCCATCTCTCTCTCTCTCTCTAGTCTCTCCCTCTCTCTTCTGTAATTCGAATGGAAGTGAACACTCGGGGAAGAGGGATCTAGAGCGAGAGAGAATTTTTGACGGTGGTGGGTGTGTTTTGAATTTTTAGAGAGTGTGGATTAAAATGTTTTTCCCACAAAAATTTTTTGTTACCAAATATTTAGTAGCAAACATTTTACTAAACATTATTTTGGTAGTAAAAAATATATTTTTTACTATTAAATTTTAATTTGGTAGCAAATTATAATTTAGTAGCAAAAAGAAATATTTAAAAAAATTAAAAAAATACATTTTGATGACAACAATTATTTTGGAACTATTACTCTAATAACATTATAACAAAAAATATAGTTTTAAAATTAAAATACATTATTCTATGTTAAAAATCAATCAAATAGTAAGATTATATACTACTCTATGTGGAACATATACTTAATTAACAAGATCATATATATATACATATGAATATGTCTCTTGTTACACTTACACAAAATAACTAAATTATCAAATAATTGTTATACAAAATATACTAGGATGATTATTAAAACTTAATATAAGACATATTTATAGAAAACTAAAAAAAAATACATGCACAAAATATAAATTTTAAAGTTTTTATATGATTCACTATCAAATACCACTTTTGGTAGTAAAAAACACCTTTTCACCACCAAAATATGAATTTGGTAGAAGATCATGTTTTTTGCTACTAAAATTTAATACCAGAAAAGTATGTTTTTTGTTACTAAACATTATTTTGGTAGCCGAAAGCATATTTTTGCTATTAAATTTGAATTTAGTACCAGAAAGACATATATTAAAAATTAAAAAAAAACATTTGAATGACAAAAATTATTTTAAAATCATTGTTCTAATAACATTATAACAAAAAAAAATAGTTTTGAAATTGAAATACATCATTCAAAGTTAAAAATCAAACAAATAGCAAGATTATATACTACTCTATGTGGAAGATATACTTAATTAACATGATCACATATATACATAAGAACATGTCTCTTGTTACACCTACACAAAATAACTAAATTATCAAATAATTGTTATACAAAATATACTAGGATGATTGTTAAGACTTAATATAGGACATATTCATGGAAAACTAAAAAAAAAAATACAAGCACAAAATATAAGTTTTAAAGTTTTTATATGATTTGCTATCAAACATAACTTTTGGTAGCAAAGAACATCTTTTTGCCACCAAAATATGAATTTGGTAGCAAAATCTTGTTTTTTGCTACCAAAATTTGGTAGCAAAAACTTATGTTTTTTAGTAGCAAAAACTTGATTTTTCGCTACCAAATTTTAGTGGCAAATAGTTATATTTTGCTTCTAATACTTGATAGCAAATGTTATATGTTTTCCTACCAAAAATAATTCGGTAGCAAATACTTCGAGTAGGAAAAAATTTTACTTCCTGCCAACATTTTATTACCAAAACATGTTTGGTAGCAAAATTGTAATATTTCACTACCAAATTTTGGTGGCAGAATCTTATACTTTTGTTACCAAATATTGTTTTAGTAACAAAAAGTTATTGGTGGGAACTAAATTTCATTATCCGCTATGTTATTTGTTACCAAATTATATTTGGTAGCAGATTGTATAGTTTTTGCTACCAAATTTAGTAACTAAAACCTTAATAATTTCAGCTACTAAAGTTTAGTAATAAAAAGTGTGTTTTTTACTACCAAAAATTTTTTAGTATCAAATAATTTGATCTCTTAAAGTGATTATTTCTACAAGCAAATGGAAAATGCGTCAACCAAGATACTTTCTTTGGAAGGACTGGCTGATAATATTGTCGTTTTTGTATATTTGTCATTACACAATTCAGAATTTTAATTAGAACTCTAGCTGAAGTCCATGCAAATATGTCGTTTTTTTTAATAGGTTGGATTGGGCCACCCACTCCCCCGCCAATGCCTCCGTCCATGTACTAGTGATGATAATAACACTCAGAAGGAGAAATATGCCGTGTGCTTCACTATCTGTGTCGTTTTATCATTTATTTCCTCATAAAAGAAAAATTATCTTGTAATTGAATAAGTGTACTAAAATTTCTTTTTCAATGATAGTGTTTCCAAATTCTACCGTGCTTAATTTCTCATCTACGTATTTTTATTCCATACTAGATCTAGACAACAGAGTAGAAAATGCATAAATCAAGATTCTGAAAGGATCAGCATTTTAAAATCTTAACTAGAACCTAAACACTATTAATAAGAGAGAACATCACATGATTAAAACCACATCACACGATTGATAAGTGAGAGTAACTTTAAAATGATTTTTATTTTTAGAGAGCATATGTGAGTGATTGACACGTCACATGACTTAAGTTCTTTAATTTTTTGCTAACTCTTTTCTTTCCTTCTTTTTTCTAATATAAGGGGTTTGGCTTTACCATATTTCAGACTTTTCTTTTCCTTTTTTAGCACTTTTTTCTTTGATAAAATTTTGCTTTTCTTGACTTTTTTTTTCAAAAAATATAATGAGAGGAAAAAAAAAAGCTATGTTTTCATTTTTCAGCTAACGATTGAGAGAGATGGACAAGAAGTAAGATATATCGAAAATGACAAAGATGAAAGAGAATGATGAGAGAGGAAAAGTGTAATTGCACTTAACAATTAATTGCACTCGACAAGTAGACCTGGACCTGCTCTGTCAGGGTACTTAGTCCACCGTCCTTCTAACCTTCTAATTTTATGATCTTTGTCTTTTGGTCTTCTGACTTTTGATCTTCAGGTTCTTTGACCATTTGATCTTCTGATCTTCGTGGAAAGATTCTAAGTGTGCTAGAAAGGCGCAATGCCATCCTTCTAGTGCCAAATGTTAATGCTGAAATTTGGCACAACGCATCGTGCAGAAGCACATAATAACCGGACCCTGTTCTTTGCCTCTTCTAGTCGGATCCATAACACTGTTCAAAACGGGTCCTTAGCACTGTTCTACTTTGGTCCTAGTATTGTTCGGGACGGATCCCTAGCACTCTTCAGGACGGATTCCTAACACTGTTCGGGACGGATCCCTAGCACTGTTCTAATATGTAACAAAAAAGGAGATAGCCTCAGAGTGAAGGGGACACCGGTGTGGTGTCTACCAATGGAACTAAGACTCTCAAGTCAGTGTTCTGGTCGGGAGCAACAAATGAGTGGGTAGTGTTAGGTGTAGAAAAATGTTTGTACCTTTGTAAGCTAATGAGCTTTGTGTTTATAGAGTATTTTTGGATTCGGGTAGCGTCTGGATCTAACCCGAAACCTGGGGATGACCCAGTTGTACTGTTGTACCGATCATATGACATATGTCGCACCCCTATAGTTAGAGGAAGCCCCCATTGGAATTGCAGAGATGAGGCTACGTGGGAGTTAGTTGCTTAATTGGGAACTTGTCATGTTCCGCCAGTCGGTGTCGGTTAGTGCTCGAACCACGTGCTCAGTCAGCTCGGATCAAGCGCTCAGCCTGTTCGAACCTGGTGCTCGCCCTAGTCTGCCTGTTCAGACTGTTCATCCTGGTCTACATGTTCGGCGTGCTCAGCCAGGTAAGTGAGTTTGGCCTATTCTGCCTGTTCGAACCATTCGGCCTGTTCAGGCTGCTCTTCCATGTTCGTACTATTCGGACCAAGTGCTCAACCTGTTCTGACTGTTTAGCCTATTTGGCCTGTTAAGACAAGGTGCTCGACCTGTTCAGGCTATTCTTTCTTGTTCTGCCTATTCGGCGTGTTCGGACAAGGTACGCAGCCTATTCCGGTTGATCATCCCTGTTCAGCTTGTTCGGACTAGGTGATCGGCTTGTTTTTCCCTATCGGCCTAGCCGGACCAAGTGCTCGGCCTATTCGACCTGTTCGGACCAAGTGCTCGGCATGTTCGAGTTGTTCAGGCTGTTCAGCCTATTCGGCCTGTTCGGCCTGCTCGGACCAAGTGCTCGGCCTGTTCGACCTATTCAGCCTGCTCGAACTAGGTGCTCAGCCTGTTCAAGCTGTTCTTTCCTGTCAGCATGTTCGAGCTGTTCTTTCCTGTCGGCCTGTTTAGACCAGGTACTAGGCATATTCATACTGTTCTTTCCAATCGGCGTGGGGAGCTTATTCTTTCGGTCATAAAAACGACCGCCTCTCATTATGAGTAATAATATTCTTTTGCAGAATAGTTTTTGTATGGATGCTAACGTAGTTGTGATGAACAGAATGACAAAATATTCAGACAATCACGATGATGAGCTTGCAGTAATGTTAACATGGTGAAAGGACCGGTGATGGAATCGAAATTTTGTTCCATTGATGACATTGACACATAAAAAAATAATGTTTTTCATTAAATAATAGCACTACTATCGTATTTTGTTAGTATTGTTAAGTTCTAATACTTTGCAAACATTACTAATACGTTGAACCTCGTCTCAAACATTAGGATAATAATTTAAAACGAGTCTTCAGTCAATGAACACGGGTTGTAAAGGTGATTTTTACTCTATGGGTGCATTTTTATTAAACCGCAAAGAAATATAATGACATGAGTAATAAGATCGGAAAGAAAAATAAAGTAATAAAATTAAGTGTTATTAATTTCTTTTTAAGTGTTACTTGACTATTAAAATGTATTATGAGAAACAATTATATTCTCTTTATAGTGTTTATTAAAATTATATTATCAATATAATTATTAAAAAGTCATTGACTATATAATAATTCATGATAAATAATTAATAAATTAGACATTCATTCCCTTTAATAAAGAACCAAAATTAAGGAGATATAAGGATTAACATTCTCTTTCTAAATTTTCTATATTGTGAAGGGCTCAATAAATGGAGACTAATTTTATTAGTAAACACATAATTAGAAAAAGAGAATATGGCTTTTTAATTAATGACCATAACTTTACATGTAACAATGTTCTTATTATTATTTACAATATGGCTTTTTTGTATAGATACCTCTCAACTTTTTGAATTTAATAATTTAGTCCTTTTATTGGCAATTGGCCCCTATAACTTTAAAATTTTTGTAATTCAAGTCCAATTAAAAATAACATCATTTTTTAACGATTCTAATCATGTAACGTACATACGAGCGTTTGTTTAGAATAATAAAAGTCATTTCTCACTCTTAGAGTGTAACATCCGGTTAAATTAATTACGATTAATTAATCAAATCCGGTTGTTAGTGTTAATTAATCTGATATTAGTGAAAGATTCTCAATTATAATTATCATGTAAATGACCATTCTCTTTTAAAAATGATTGTTTTGAAATTAACACGACTGTCCCTTAAACTATTTTAAGTGTTGGTAACTAATTTTTCAAAACATGAATAATGAGTCATTTTATACACTATTCAAATTAGATTTTAAAGTCTAATTATCAAATTTGTACAAAGGTTAAGCCCATTTTCCTTTTTTCCCCCTTTTTCTTTCTTTTTTCTCATTTTTCTCTCGTACTCTCTCTCTCTCCACGACGGCCACCTATTACCGATGAGATTCCGGTGTCGTCTCACGACACCGCCCACACCATCGGAAAGCTCTCGACGAGCTGGACTCGCTGACATGCCGCACGACCTCCATCTCCGCCGGAATCAGCCGCAATCGACGGCGAAATGTCTGAAAACTACCTTAACTTCTTGCCATCGAAACTTTGTCGTCCGACCTCCGATCGGAGTGATTCCGGTCCCTATGGACTCAACTCGACGAGATGAACAAAACCCATGCCGTCTCACCCGTCGATTCTCACCGGAGCGCCGTCGCAGGAGCCGCCCATTTCGGCCGCCGTGCCTCCTCTCTGTTGTACACTATTCCGGCCTCTGTTTTTTACACCGCCGGTGCCATTAGACTCAGATAACGACGTAGAGCAAGAAGCAACCTTCAGCCTCCCGAATCCGCCGCCGTTTATCAGAGATCGGAGCTCGCCGCCACCGCCGTTTGGGTGGAGGGTGGTTCCGATGATCCAACCATTGAATCGTCGTGATTTTGGTGTCAAAACACTCAGAAGGAAGTGGGTAACAAAAGCCCTCAACCAATTTTGACATTCCATTGCCGGAGAATTGAGAACTAACTCGCCGGATTTTGCCGACGTGTTTAGGTTTAATCGGAGTAAATAGAGGCCGAATTTGGTGAAATTGACTGCACCATTGAACTTAGAATGGTCGATTTATGGGGGTAGGACCTAAGTCCGCCGTGGAAATGTGCTCTAGCAACCCCCGCCGCCGCTGTCGCCGCCGCCGGTGGCCGGATTCCAGTGTCTCAGTTCTTGAGGTTCCCAACGTCCGATTGAAGATATGAGGCCAATACTGACTCCTTTCGACGTGCTGAACGCAACAGTAACCTCTGTTTGCGCCAATTCGACTCCGTTAAAGAGTCTAACTGTGCACGCAGATCGAGACAAATCGAGTTGAGGTTCAGAGCGAGCCGTGGAACTTCAAAAATAGACGGTTGGACCACGTGAAATATTCTGTAGATTAAATTTTTAAGAGGTAGGATATTCTTGTCTATATCCTTATTAGCCTCACTTTTAATGGTTTTGGCCAATAAAAAATGTTTTAGAACAAAACATGTTTAAAGAAAAATAATTTTAAAGGAAATAGTAAGAATAATACTATTAAGTTTTCTAATGATTTTAGAAATGAGATTTTAAAGAGTATCATTTCTTAAAATGAAATATTTTAAGAAATGATATAACGCATGGTTGTCTCAGAGATCGGGATATGGGAATCATATCCCTGGCGGTAGGACACGAACCCCGTACGGATCCACTTCTTGCTCAGTGGTGTTATGGCTCTGCATATTTTCATTATACAGATATTTTTCTACTACTACGTGAGTATTTCCTTTATTTAAAAAGGATGATCGATTCTGGGCGTATGTCTTCAGACCGTGAGTACCTTTATTTACAATGTTTCATAAAATTGTATGATCGGTTCCGGGTGTATGTCTTCGGACCATGAGTACCTTTATTTACAATGTTTCATAAAATTGTATGATCGGTTCTGGGTGTATGTCTTTGTACCGTGAGTATTTTTATTCATAATGTTTTATAAAATTATATCATACTGGGCCGTCCGCTCACTTTTATTATGTTTTCAATATTTTAAACCCTTCTTCCAGAGTTAGCAATTTAGATTTACAATGTGACAAGTGGATGCCAATGGATTAAAGGTACGAGATTTGAAGCGGTACGTTTGTTTCGGATTTACAGTTTTAATTTTGAGATGTACTGTATTTCTATATATAAACGGTATTGGTCGACATTGTCCCAGAGTTGTACTATTTTCCTTAGATTTTATGGACTGTTTTAAATATTATTTGTAAAAGAAAGTCTCTAGAGCAAACTATATTGATATTTATGTATTTATTTTTGTGATTTTTATTAAACAGTCAAGTTTAATTAAATTAAATTTTAAATTAAACCTCAATAATCACGGTCTCATCTTTAGGGTCATAACATAGAGGGTCTGTTTAGGATAATAAAAGTCATTTCTCACTCTTAGAGCGTCTGTTGAGTGCAATAACCCTTGAAACCAAGACTTGTTTATTATAGTTGATTATGTTCAGACACATTAGATAATTCTGAAATCAATATAACTGAACAAATATGGTAAGGAATAACTTTCATTGCCCTCAACAAATACTCTCGTGTGCATCACATGATCAGAATTGTAAAAAAAAGAAAAAATAGACATCATTTTTTATTGGACCTTAGTTGGAAAGATTTAACAGTTAAAAGGGGCCAAATGTCAGGAAAAGAAGAATAAGAATTAAATTACTAAATTTGAAAAATTGAGGGGTGTTCGTGCAAAAAAAAAAAGCCTTACAATATTGAAGCAAATAAATAAAAAACAAGCACGCTTTTTTTTATAAAGATTTGTCAAAATAAAAGTACACACGAAGAAATTAGGAAGGGAGAAAAGGAATGAAAATGATAGGGGAAAAGAAAAAGAAGATATAATTATAACTTTTAAAACAAAAATGCAGTGGGGTCACAATAAAAAAGAAAAAAAATCATGCATAATAGGCTTTTGTTACGATCATCGCTTTTATTACGTAATATACTGAGACGACAGTATTTTTACTTAACATATAATTGGTGACGTATTTAAAAATTTATTTAAGTGAAGACACTAATATATGAAAAGTCTATTTTAAAAAAATATTGGAAAAACAAAATTATGAAATGAGGTTTTTTTTGGGATATTTAACTTTTTATACTTTGTGTTTTAGATTTATTTAAAAACTATACCATTAATTTTTGATCTCGTCAAATATATCTTTAAATTGAATTTAATACTCAAATTTATATCTTTTCACATCCAACCCTTGATTTTAACCTTTAAAATACCTCAAATGCCCTTGAATAAAAAAAATAGAAAAAAAGAAAAAACTAAAAAAAAACCTTAAACTTACAGTTTTGACCTAAAAAATAAACAAAATACCATTAAAATAGATTTTTGTTTATTTGTAATAATGGAAAGTTTTAGTTTCTTTTCTCTCTCTTTTTTGGGGATAGTTTTGTCATTTTAAATGTTAAAATCAATTATTGACTGAAATAGAGTATAGATTTGTATATTAAATCTAATTTGAATGTGTACATTTGATGAGATTAAAAACTAAAGGTATACATTTTAAATAAACCTAAAACACAGGATATAAAATGTAAATATCCCCTTTTTTTCTTTCATCAAACTTTTCAAGCATATTTACTCTTCAACCTACACAAATTTTTTTCTTTGAATTTTTACATTTATAGTTTGTATATATAAATGAGTTTTCAATGGTTACCTCTCCATCAATGGTCACCCATTAAATATAGTAATTTAATAACGTGACGTGATAAGAATTCAATTTCATTAATTACAACAAATTTTTTGGTCAACTATCCAATTTATTACAATCATAAGATTAATATCTTACAGCTAAAACAACAATACCCATCGATAAGTAAATATTAGAGTAACCATTAAAATTACACCCTTATATATATATATATATATGATAAGTCTACAAAATAGAGTTATTTTCACTCTTAATTAAGTTTAAATTAATCTTGTTTTTAAGATTTTTATGTTGATTTTTGAGTTTATTTAGTTAATTTATTTTATTTGGTTTTTAATTTATTTGTTTTATTTTAATTTCTAATAAGTTTCTCCTTTTAATTCATTTTAGTTTCTTCAATTTTATAGGTAATTTAGGTGAAAAGACAATTATCGCAATTATGGCAATTGGGATTAAATATCAGCAAAAAATGAAGCAACTAAAAAGAAAGCATCCTGAATTAGCTAGAGCCACGTGCAGCCAAGGAGATTGCACTTTACTCTCTATCCATTAATTTTACTCTCAATTCAATTCAGTGCTGCCACGTCGCTAAGTCAAGCCTTTCCATGGCTCCCCACATGCTGCTTCGCAACACCGCGACGCGAACATGCCGGGAAGAGATCATGATCAGTACGGTGACAAGTGAGACTTGTGCTGGACCTTGTGGTGACTAGTACAGTGACAAGATCCCGTTCAAGTCTCACTTGTCACCGTACTGGTCATGAGCTCATCCCGGTGTGTCCGCATCACGACGTTGCGAAGCAGTATGTGGGGAGCCGTGGATGAGCTTGTCTTGACCTACACCAATAATTTACAACATTGGGCTTTTTTTTTTTTTTTTTTTTTTTTTTTTGGGTGTGTGTGGTCCTTTGAAGAAATCCAAACTTGGTCCCTCACAATGGTTCACTAAGCCACCTAACTTCAATTAAACTAGAGACCCAATGACTTTATAAATAGATTAGCAATTCTTTTCACTTCTCTTCCTCGCCATCTTACCACAAATTTCCGGGGTACATGTGAAGATGGAAAACTTGAAAATCTCATTTACCAATATGTCTGATATAGTCAACGAGACTTGGCAAGAATACCATAAGCAACTTCAGCTTCACCCTCTTAGAACCAAGGTTGATTTTTCTTGATGTGTTAGTTTAACTATTATGTTATAATGTTGTTCTTGGTTTAACAACTTTTTTTTTATTTTTTATTTTTTTGGTTTGAATCTTTTCTTTATTTTTCTTTTTTGGGTTGCTAGGCAATTACAGCAAGTGCCTTAGTTGGGCTCAATTATGCAATAGCCGAGAAGACCTCTGGGGTCAAGAAGCTTCAATTGAGAAGATTGCTTCTTATGATGGTACACTTATTTTGAAACATATTGACTATTTTGAGTTTGTTATGTTCTAAGATATTCTATTTCTTTCATGTTTCTTATGTTTTCTGTTTTGTGTGAGCCGCTAAGTTTGTTATGTTCTAACGGATTACGCAGATTAAGAATCAATCCACAAGTCAATAATATATTGTGAATTGGAAAAATCGTAATCCGTTATCAATTCGTGAGTCTCCAATCCAAAAACAACAGATTCAATTTATTGGACATTGAATCTTATAGTCCCTCTCTTTTCAATATTTTCAAAAAATTAATAATAAAATTAAACAAAAACATAACATTACATAAAATTAAAATAGCTTCACAAAATCTAATTCATTACCACACAAAATCTAATACAAAATTCAAATATTTGATACAAAATTTAACATATAAAATAATATTAGTATATATAATATATATATACTAAAATATTCAATTCCTTTTTTCTTCTCTAGCAAAATGAAATCTGTACTTTATATTTGAACTTTTATATGCATAGTTGGTCTTGTGTCATGGTTGTGTCACAAGTATAGATCATTGGAACGAAATTGTTTTGCAGCTATATGGATTTGCATACGCAGGACCATTTGGACACTTCCTCCACAAATTAATGGAAATTATATTCGACGGAAAGCAGGACAATAAAACTGTTGATAAAAGGGTACACTCCTATAGGAGTTTTTTGCCCCCTCTCAAAAATATATGTGCATGCAATTTTTGTAACCAAAGTATTGATGCATTGGAATTTTTCATTTATTAGGTGTTGCTTGAACAACTAACAATTTCTCCTTGGAACAACTTCATTTTCATGATGTACTATGGCTTAGTTGTTGAAGGTATGTCTTGTTTCGGGCTCTCTTTAATTGTGTGTAACATGGTAGATATGTGTTATATATTGCATGGCTGATTAGCAGTTATGTATTTCACTCATGGTTGTTTGGTTTATGAATTTAAATTAGACGCTTTGAATCAAAATTTAATTTTCAGTAAGAAAAAAAATACTATAACAGAACAGTTTAAATCGTGGTTCAAATCCCTCTACCAAACATGTTCTTAAAGAGAAATGATTAAAAGAAGGAGAAAGGTAGGCGTGAGAGTGATGGAAATATGAGAGAGAGTGAAGGTGTATGGAAGAAAGACAAACAGTAGTGGAAGAGAGAGTGTTTTAGGGAAAGTTAAGATCATCTCTAATGTAAATAGCAATACTAATTGTATATTTAGCATCAAAGAGTATAATATAATATGTTTTTTTTCATTTTTGTTCCAACACATAATGCTATTTAAAATGCTAAATTCATTTTTTCTCGTAATCATTAATCTTTAAAAGTAGTAAAAGTAAACTTTTATTTTTAAAATAGCTAGAAAATGCAAAAACTGTAATGATTAAATGAAAAAAGTAAATATTTCAACCAATAATAATTAAATGTTAAATTTTTTATATGCTATATTTAGTGGAAAATTTGTCACAAAGTATAAGAGCATCTTCAATGTAGTGCTATAATTAATGTGACAATTGTAAATTTAACAATTGAGTGCAAAAACACTCTCTAATGCAATGCTATTTGTTGTTCTAATTTCTCATTAAGTATAATATATGGAGAATTTGACATTTGATTGTTGTTAGTTGAAATATTTACTTTTTAATGTAATTATTGCAACTTTTATATTTTTTTAATTATTTTGAATATAAAAGATCATTTTACAACTTTCAAAACTTAATGATTATTAAAAAAAATAGATTTAACATTTCAAATAACATTATGCATTGGGGTAAAAAAATAAAAATAACATATTATATTATATTTTTTTATGACAAATATACAATTAGCATTAACATTTATATTAAAAATAGCTTAATATATAAAAAATTTAACACAATAAATAACATTATATTAAAAAATATTTTCTTACATTTAAATATTAAATTTATAATTAACAAGTATAATATTACATTGGAAATGATACGAGAATAACGGAAGACACCACTCTTTGTTCCGTTAGTGGATCTTTTATAACTAGGCTGATACATCAAATATTTATTGGGGGAGACAGGAGAGACAGAGAAAGGGGACAAATGATCTAGCTCTAGGAAAAGTACAGAAGAAACACGAGAAAGGAGAAGAGATTACTTTTTAAAGTTTTTTAATCTATAATTTTTATTTGTTTAATCTTTTTTAAAGTTAAAAGTCCTTTTCAAAAATGACATCATCCGATTTATTTAGTCTTGTCACATCATTTATCCGTTTCATAAATATATTTAAACTCATATTTTAAATTTTTTTAGTGTTTTTTTTAATAAAAAATTTGTATTAAATTTTTTTTTAATAATGATTATCTCACAAAGTTTTGGCTAATTATTAATCAAAATTACTGATTTAAACTGTAAATTAAACGGTGCTTTATATTCCTTTATCTCAAATCGTTGAATTGTATGGTCAACTGCATTTTTACTTACTCCACCGGTGGGGTCAAATTACCTATCCTACCATAAAGACTCACAGGAAAAAAAAAAAAAGAAAAAAGAAAATAAAAATAAAAAGAGAGGACATTAGAGATGTAAGAATGTGTTAACATTTGAGCCTATCTATGAGTTAGGATGGGTTGTCCATCTAAGTCCATTATAAGTTTGGATAGGTTAGTCCTTCTTAGCATGCATTTTGTTATTTTTTTTATATTTTATAAAAAAACAATTTTTAATTTTCTAAACAAGTTAATAAATATAAAAATCTAAATAGTCAATGGAAATGTAAAAAGAGATATTTTATTTATGTATGTCTCATTAAAAACCTTTTCAATGAGAACCTAATAGAACAAAACCTAAATAAGAATAAAAAAGTACATTTGTAATAATTACACATAAGATGTTTACATAATTACTAAATAAAAATTAAAAACAAATAAAAACAAATAAAAAACATTAAAATAATTATTATTTATAATTACAACTTACAAATAGTGGCACTCTCACAAATATATAAGACCACTGGTAAACATGATTATATATATATATATATATAACCAAAGTACATAAAAAATATCTTATAGAAAAAATACTCTATGTATTAAATATATATATATATATATTAAAAGTTGGGTTAAATGAGTTGAGATGGGCTGACCCATTATAGGCTTAAATGGGCCGGCTCGGTCTAATCTAAGCTCAGTGTGGTCTATGAATTTTTATAGACGGAGATATGTCGACGCAATTCAACCCACTAATATTAATCAGTTAGACCTCGTGTTGTGTCCTACCAGCTTAACACTGTATTAGAATGGGTTTAGACCGGCCCACAGGTCAGAGCCCGTTGTTGCACATCTCTAGGACACTTTCTAGTCAAGCATAATTCTCAAGAGCATACTATTGTGAGAGTTCACGCCATGAACAATAGGAGATGAACCGTCATTAATAATAATACCACATCCTCACTTTGAGAAACTGAAGGGTTTTAGTTTGGAATTACAGGAAGGCCATGGAGTTTAGTGAAAAGTAATTTAAGAAAGTACTACCCATCTGTTCAGCTGGCCACGTGGAAGGTATGCAATATATATATATATAGCAAGTAGTATAATCTAAGGCTCCATTTTTTTCGCAGATTTGAGTTTTGTTACAGTAATGGGTTAAATGAGTTGAGATGGGCTGACCTATTATAGGCTTAAATGGGCCGGCTCGGTCTAATCTAAGCTCAGTGTGGTCTATGAATTTTCATAGACGGAGATATGTTGACGCAATTCAACCCACTAATATTAATCAGTTAGACCTCGTGTTGTGTCCTACCAGCTTAACACTCTATTAGAATGGGTTTAGACCGGCCCACGGGTCAGAGCCCGTTGTTGCACATCTCTAGGACACTTTCTAGTCAAGCATAATTCTCAAGAGCATACTATTGTGAGAGTTCACGCCATGAACAATAGGAGATGAACCGTCATTAATAATAATACCACATCCTCACTTTGAGAAACTGAAGGGTTTTAGTTTGGAATTACAGGAAGGCCATGGAGTTTAGTGAAAAGTAATTTAAGAAAGTACTACCCATCTGTTCAGCTGGCCACGTGGAAGGTATGCAATATATATATATATAGCAAGTAGTATAATCTAAGGCTCCATTTTTTTCGCAGATTTGAGTTTTGTTACAGTAAAAAACTCTCAAAAACAGTCACATTTAACTTTTTTGCTACAATAAAAAATTCTCACACAACATCACATCTCAACTCAAATTAAAAACTCAAATTAACGAACCGAACGGGCCTAAATATAAAAGATGAAAGACTATACAAACCCAAATCTGACAGTTCATAATTATTCTCAACTTGACACAATATTTCTCATGTCCCATCAATGCATTTTCTCCTATTTCAAACCAATTATATAGGTCTCGTTCACTTCGTAGATTTGAGTTTTCAATTTAAGTTGAGATGTGATATTTTTTTGAAAACTTTTCATTATAGCAGAAAAAGTTAGATGTGACATTTTCTTAGAGTTTTTTACTGCAGAAACTTAAAACTGAAAACTTGAATCGGTGAAATGAACGAGGCCATAATGCTAGTCAGGTATGACTATCTTTTTTTTTTTTTTTCTTTTTAGCTAAAAAGGAGACGGATCTATTTATTATACGGTCACAGGACCACTGAAAAGGAAAAAATTATTTGAAATTTTCCTCATACACTTGAAAAAAAATTTAGGCTTTTTTTTGGTCCCTCGCAATTTTTATGGGTAAAATTTTTCCCGTCATAAAAAATTAAAGGATTAACTTAACCGGTTAAATTATTAACGTAATTCTCTTATATTAAATCGTAACAGTTATTATTATGAGAATAATAAGTCATTTTTAAACATGTGACAAATAAAACAGTGTCATGTACTGCTATAAATAAATGTTCGTGTATGATCGAATGTGCCTAAAAAAAAGAACATAACAGATGTAATTCTTCTTGACAATATTATTCATGTTTAAAACAACAGTCGGTTACGATAGAATGACTGATATTAACAGTAAAAATGATAGTCATTTATTGATGTGCTTTTTAATATTTTTTATATAATTATTTATAAGAGGTGTACATGACAGTCGTTTATTGTTATATGTTTAAAAACGACTTCTGATTTTCAAAATAATAACTGTTACGACTCAATTTAAAAGAATTATGCTAGACTTTCAGCCGGTTACGATGATTACGATTGGTATATAAACCCGTTACAATGACACATGAGAGATTTGTCTGCCATTTTCAAACTGGGGACTATAAACAACTCCGAAAGTTTATATCAAGATTCAGTACAATTTGTATTCTTAATGTGTTCCAATTTAATTTCAATTATTTGTTTTATTTGTACTAATTATGGGTGCAGTTTTGGCCAATTATTGGTCGGGTGAATTATCAATACATACCATTGCAATTCCGAGTTATTTTTCAAATCTTGGTTGGCCAATGCTGGTAAATCCCTTTGTTTTTTCTTTTTTTATTCAATAACCTTCCTCTCTCACTCCAAACATAACATTATTAATGTGGAAATAATAAACATATTCACACTTGTTGGCATGCATAAATATGAAAGTATACAGCCTTTTTAAAGTATAAAATGATATGAAACTTATAAAATACTAGTCATTCTGAAATGACTATGCTTTATCATGTTAGTATAAATTTAAGTGCATCTCCATATCCTAATATATTCTTGGTGACTGATTTGATGTATTATACAGGAATTATTAAGACCACTTATCATTCTTATTCTGAATGCTAAATCCCAGGTCTATCTTTTTAAATCTGAACGCAAGATCCAAAGCAGTCAAGAAGGCGTAGAATGGAAAGAACTATTTGAACTACTATTTTGTACTGTAAATTTTTTTTTTTTTCACCCTTGAAGCATTTGTTGAGGGTAATGTTCTTAAAAACTAAGAGTTGTTTATCATACTTGATTGTGTTCATATACATTAGATGATTTTAATATCAATAGTACTGATCAATTTGGATGAGAAATGACCTTTATTGTCCTCGATAGATATTCGCGTGTTCGTTATGTTATCAGAATCGTTAGAAAAACAGACGTTTTCGATTGAATCTTAATAGTAATGATTTTCAAATTGAAAGATTCAATTGCCAAAAAAAAAAATATAGTGACCAAATTTCTAAATTTAAAAAGTTGAGATACTGTCAACAAAAAAGCTTATAAAGAAAACCTTACTATAATATAGATAAGGGAAACATATTTTTGTATTTTTCAAAAAGAGGTACAAAAGTTACTCTTTTACAGTTTAAGGGTTAATTTTCTAAAATACCAAAGCTGAATTCATTAATATTAAATGGTAAATATTATTTAAAATATCTTATAGATGAAATAAAATAAATTTTAAAATAAAAAACATCAAATTAAAAAAAAAAAAAAGGAACTCTCCAAGTGTAAACCTCATTTCCTTTGCCCTCTATGATGACCTTACAAAACCCTAACAACGTCATCATCAACCAAACGTCGTCGTTTCCTATTCTTCCGTGACTCGCAGGTGGTCCTTCATCGAAGAGTGGTGAAATTGATGAGTTTGTCTTCTATTATCTGTGAGATCGGCATTTGTGTCGATGGAGAGGGTGTAATTTAGGGCTAGCCGCGATTCACAACAATGTGAATCGGAATTCAATTATCAAAATTAGTCAGAATAATTAATACGTTATAATTTAGTTAAAGACGCAGTCCCAATAATTTTAAAATTTGACCGATCACAAATTATTTTTTATTTTTAACATATATAAAACAGACAGTCTTTTTTAGTGCATTCTCCTCCATTTATTTTTCTTTTTTAAGCCCTTTTGCTAAAAGCTTCTCAACAATAAAGTCACGGGATAAAGAGTAAAATAGACAAAGACTTGAAATGAATTAAAATTAATAGGCCAATAGTTTACATAAGTTAATAATTAGGTCAAATTACTGTTTTTGTCCATAACTTGTCTAGTTATGAACCATAACTTGACAAGTTATTGTCTATAATTGTACATAATTTGTCTGGCTATGAATCATAACTTGACAAGTTTGTCCATAACTTATCTGGTTATAAACCATAACTTGACAAATTATGACATATTAATTTCTATAACTAAAAATTGGCCTATATACTTTCTTAAGCTTTTCATATTGGCATATTTTCTACTATTTTCCTAAAGTCAATGACGAAGCTAGCTAAGGCCCAAAAGAGACTGGAGTCCCTTTGGTCCTAGCTAACTGTTTAGTCTGTTTTAGTATTTTTTTTTAATTTTTAATTTTGCCTTATTTCTTCTTGTTTAGTTCCTCTTAAAAATTTTCATTTCTATGTTTTATACTGAAATTTTTAAAATTTTTTATTTACATCCTTAAGTTTGATACAAGGTTTGTATTATTTTGCCCCTTTAATTTTTTTAATTCTATATTTTATGTAAAATACTAATATATTTTCATTTACACTATCAATTTTTACTTCTAATAATAGTCTATTACACAATTAATTTAATTTTAAATTTTTGTTTAATTCAAGCTCCCCTTTAAAATTTTTTATGGCTTTGTCACTGACTAAAGTTATCTTCTTTGAAATACATTTTTCCCTTATTTTATTTCTATTAAAATAATTTATTTCAAATATGTCCTTAATTCTTTCTCCCACCTAAACATTTATTAAAGTTTTATTCTTTTTTATTTTCATTCTTCAAAATACCTTTTCTTCTTTGATAATTTATATTAAAATAATTTTTCAAATGTATTTATACTTATTTTTTCTGTTGAAACAAAGTTCCTTTTAGTACACCATCTTTTCTTTATAATATCAACTTCCTTTTTCGTTGTTTTCCTACTTTTTCTTTTTCTTTTTTTTTCCACTTTTCTTTAACATCTTCAATTAATATATATTATCTTTACAATATATGCTCACACATTTTCCGGCCGCACGTACACATTTAACCAAAGTATATGTATAGTTGAAATATGCATTTCCATCCTTTTACCTTTTTGTTTATTTATAAATCTTATGTTTACAAATGATTGTATTAAACTTTTTTTTCTTTCCAAAAATGCTTTTATTGAATAAATTTTCTCCTATGTGCAATAATCTAAACATAATTTTTTCCTGTAGTCGATATTTTTTTTTATGACCAGATCCTCGTAAATATCTTTTCTTGATTGCTTCCCTCAATAATTTCTTCTCAATTGTGTTCCTGCTTAAGCATTTTTCTCATACAAGTCTTTCAAATATTTCTTTCTTTATATTAAATGATTTACTTTATAATATTCTCCATTACAAACCTTTCTCTCTTTTAAATGTGCTTTATTAAACATTTTTTTTCTTTTGCTAAACTCAGGCTTAGTTCGCTTCGCGAATTTAAATTTTCAATTTGAGCTGAGATGTGACATTTTCTGAGAGCTATTAACTGTAGCAAAAAAAGTTAGATATAATATTTTCTGAGAGCTTTTAATTGTAGAAATCTAAAATTGAAAACTCAAATCAGTAAAATAAACGATACCTCAATTATTAAGATGATCGTAAATAGGTACAACTATATTAGAAGAAATTTTAAATTTTCATTTCAAAAAGTTACAAGGAATACATGCACCCGCGCGTGCCTTTAATAAGTATTTTATAATAAAAGAGATAAGACGTGCAATTTAAAATATATAATACATGGAGAAATGAGAATCTGTTAGGTAAAAGATAACTCCGGCACTAGCTCCGCACTACATGTCAGCATTGGAGAGAAATGTGTGTTCAAAAAGTTACAAGGAATACACGCACCCGCGCGTGCCTTTAATAAGTATTTTATAATAAAAGAGATAAAACGTGCAATTTAAAATATATAATACATGGAGAAATGAGAATCTATTAGGTAAAAGATAACTCCGGCACTAGCTCCGCACTACATGTCAGCATTGGAGAGAAATATGTGTTCAAAAAGTTACAAGGAATACACGCACCCGCGCGTGCCTTTAATAAGTATTTTATAATAAAAGAGATAAAACGTGCAATTTAAAATATATAATACATGGAGAAATGAGAATCTGTTAGGTAAAAGATAACTCCGGCACTAGCTCCGCACTACATGTCAGCATTGGAGAGAAATGTGTGTTCAAAAAGTTACAAGGAATACACGCACCCGCGCGTGCCTTTAATAAGTATTTTATAATAAAAGAGATAAAACGTGCAATTTAAAATATATAATACATGGAGAAATGAGAATCTACTCTGTAAAAGATAACTCCGGCACTAGCTCCGCACTACATGTTAGCATTGGAGAGAAATGTGTGTCGTCTTCTTCTTCTTCTTCTGTTAACGTGGAAATCTGCCAACTTAGCCGGTGCTATGCAGAGTTGCCCGCACTACATGTCAACATTGGAGAGATCTTCTTCTTCCCCCGCACTACATGTCAGCATTGGAGAGATCTTCTTCTTCTTCTTCTTCTTCTTAAAACATATGGCTTATTAGCTCAAATCTCTTCCTTCAAAAGGAAAATTTTAAAATATAAAATAGTATGATAAAACCTTCTTAATTTATATTAGTATCGAGTACTAATAATAATTTAAAACCTACTCTTTCTTTCTGTTGTTGAAGTAAAGATGAGCATCATTATTAGCAAGATTTTTTTTTCCAAGGGGCAAAGTGAAACCAATACTTTGCAGGGTTTTAAGTTCAAAATATGTGCATACTCAAAAGTGAAAACTTAAGATATAACTGAATTAAAAGAGAAAAAAATCGACCTTAAATTTACAATTTTCAATATTTTAGAAGGACAAAAGAAACGGTACAAAATTTTTTTAGAGAATAAAAAAAGAAAAGAAACAAATACCTCTTAAAGTGCATAAATCTGAATCTTTACTCTTTATTTTTTTATTAATATCTTTTTAAATCAAATAACTATATTAATAAAAAATTAATAAAGAGTACGAAATTCCTCCTCGCTTCATGCCAGTTTGAACCCGTCCCAGCAACGAACACCTTCCTACTGCAAGGTGAGGCTCTGCCCTTTCCCTAGAATCCACTATGGGTCGGAGGAGTAGCTAGTCCAATCCGACCGAAGCGTGAAAAAAAAAAAAAAAAAAAAAAAAAAAAAAAAAAAAAGAGAGAAAAAAAACGTAGGAAGTAAGAAGGTGGGAAATCATGTTACCCTTTCTAGACACGAAAAAGAGCACTTTCACTTATTAAAGTGAGTCCTAACAATGATAATATCTGCAATAATGAAAGCTTCTTTTGCAAGAAAAAGCAGAAGATACAACATGCACTACTCAAATGGAAAAACCAGGTTGCAGAGGAAACTGAAATACCTCCCGTAAACAGTGACAGAGCTAGCAGTCCATTTTAGTGGGGCATATACCCTATTTTTTTTTATAAAAAATAACAAAAGAAATATAAGAAGTTGGATTACCATATTTTTCAATAACTAGTAAAAACATATATGAAATGAAGATTATAAAGTATAAGGTTTAATGGGGTACGTATGAAAATATGAAATTTTAGTGGGCGCAAAATAGTAATATAATAGAATGTTTAAGAAAATGAGTAGGGACGGCTGCCCTATTAGGCAGTAAATAGCTCCGCCACTGCTCGTAAAGTCAAGCAATCAACAATAAATGGAGAGGAACGACCTGGCAATCCCTTAGCTAAAAAATAATGATAAAACCTACTAGTATAACGTGTTTTAAAAAAAAAAGAATGATCATTATTCATTCATTTTTTAATTTCATACTCAAACACTCTACTATACAATAATACGAGTTGTGTCTTCCCACTTTCTTTTAAAAAAATAAAAAAGAGTGATCATTATTCACTCATTTTCAATTTCATACTCAAGCACTT